GGAACTTTGTCCTCACCGCCAGGAAGCTTGTCTTCACCGCCGGGAACCTTGTCCTCACCGTCTGAAACCTTGTCTTCACCGCCAGGAAGCTTGTCCTCTCCGCCAGGAACATTGTCCTCACCGCCAGTAACCTTGTCCTCACCACGAGGAACCTTGTCCTCACCGCCAGGAACCTTGTCCTCACCGCTAGAAACCTTGTCCTCACCGCTAGAAACCTTGTCCTCACCGCCAGGAACCTTGTCCTCACCACCAGGAACCTTGTCCTCACCGCCAGGAACCTTGTCTTCACCGCTAGAAACCTTGTTCTCACCATCTGAAACCTTGTCCTCACCGACAGGAAACTTGTCGTCACCGCCACGAACTTTGTCGTCACCGCCAAGAACCTTGTTCTCACCGACAGGAACCTTGTTCTCACCTCCAGTAACCTTGTCCTTACCGCCAGGAATATTGTCCTCACCGCCAGTAACCTTATCCTCACCGCTAGGAGCATTGTCCTCACCGCCAGTAACCTTGTCTTCACCGCCAGCAACATTGTCCTTTCCGCCAGAAACCTTGTCCACAACGCTAGAAACCTTGTCCTCACCGTCAGGAACCTTGTTGTCACCGCCAGGAACCTTGTCGTCACCGCCAGGAACCTTCTCGTCACCGCAAGTAACCTTGCCCTCACCGGCACGAACCTTGTCCTCACCGTCAGTACACTTGTCCTCACCGGCAGGAACATTGTCCTCACCGCCAGTAACCTTGCCCTCACAGCCAGGAACCTTGTCCGCACCGCCAGGAACCTTGTCCCCACCGCCAGGAACCTTGTCCACACCGCCGGGAACCTTATTCTCACCGCCAGGAACCTTGTCCTAAAGGGTTTAAAACCGTGTCCTCACCGCCAGGAACCTTGTCCTTACCGCCAGGAACCTTGTCCCCGCCGCTAGAAACCTTGTCCTCACCGCCAGGAACCTTGTCCTTACCGCCAGGAACCTTGTCCTCACCGCCAGGAACCTTGTCCTCACCGCCAGGAACCTTGTCCTCACCGCCAGGAACCTTCTACTCACCGCCAAGAACCTTGTCCTCACCCCCAGGAACCTTGTCCTCACCGCCTGGAACCTTGTCCTCACTGCCAGGAACCTTGGCCTCACCGCCAGAAAGCTTGTACTCACCGCGAGGAACCTTGTCCTCACCGCCAGTAACCTTGTCCTCACCACCAGGAACCTTGTCCTCACCACCAGGAACCTTGTCCTCACCGGCAGGAACCTTGTTCTCACCGCTAGAAACCTTGTCCTCACCGCTAGAAACATTGTCCTCACCGCCAGTAACCTTCTCCTCACCACCAGGAACCTTGTCCTCACCGCCAAGAACCTTGTCCTCACCGCCAGGAACCTGTCCTCACAGTCAGAAACATTGTCCTCACCGCCAGGAATCTTGACCTCACCGCCAGGAACCTTGTCCTCACCGCCAGTAACCTTGTCCTCACCGCCAGGAACCTTGTCCTCACCGCCAGGAACCTTGTCCTCACGGCCAGGAATCTTGTCCTCACCGCCAGGAACCTTATTCTCACCGCCAGGAACCTTGTCCTAACCGCCAGGAACCTTGTCCTCACCGCCAGGAACCATGTCCTTACCGCCACGAACCTTGTCCTCACCGCTAGAAACCTTGTCCACACCGCCAGGAACCTTGTCCTTACCGCCAGGAACTTTGTTCTCGCCGCTAGAAACCTTGTCTTCACCGTTAAAAACCTTGTCCTCACCGCCAGGAGCCTTGTCCTTACCTCCAGGAACCTTGTCCTCACCCCCAGGAACCTTGTCCTTACCGCCAGGAACCTTCTCCTCACCGCCAGGAAGCTTGTCCTCACCGCCGGGAACCTTGTCCTCACCGCCAGGAACCTTGTCCTCACCGCTAGAAACCTTGTGCTCACCGCTAGAAACCTTGTCTTTACCGCCAGGAACCTTGTCCTCAGCGTCAGAAACATTGTCCTCATCGCCACGAACCTTGTGCTCACCGCCTGGAACCTTGTCCTCACCGGCAGGAGCCTTGTCCTCACCGGCAGGAAGCTTGTCCTTACCGCCAGCAACCTTGTCCTCACCGCCAGAACCTTGTCCACACCGCTACAAAACCTTGTACTCACCGTCAGGAACCTTGTCGTCACCGCCAGGAACCTTGTCGTCACCGCCGGGAACCTTGTCGTCACCGCAAGTAACCTTGCCCTCACCGCCACGAACCTTGTCCTTACCGCCAGTACACTTGTCCTCACCGGCAGGAACATTGTCCTCACCGCCAGTAACCTTCCCCTCACCGCCAGTAACCTTGTCCGCACCGCCAGGAACCTTGTCCTCACCACCAGGAGCCTTGTCCTCACCGCCAGGAACCTTCTCCTCACCGCTAGAACCTTGTCCTCACCGCTAGAAACCTTGTCCTCAACGCCAGGAACCTTGTCCGTACCCCAAGGAACCTTGTGCTCACCACCAGGAACATTGTCTTCACCGCCAGGAACCTTATCCTGACCGCCAGGAACCTTGTCCTCACCGCCACGAACCTTGTCCTCACCGCCAGGAACCTTGTCCTCACCGCCAGGAACCTTGTCCTCACCGCCAGGAACCTTGTCCTCACCGCCAGGAACCTTGTCCTCACCGCCAGGAACGTTGTCCTCACCGCCAGGAACCTTGTCCTCACCGCCAGGAACCTTGTCCTCACCGCCAGGAACCTTGTCCTCACCGCCAGGAACCTTGTCCTCACCGCCAGGAACCTTGTCCTCACCGCCAGGAACCTTGTCCTCACCGCCAGGAACCTTGTCCTCACCGCCGGGAACCTTGTCCTCACCGCAGGGAAGCTTGTCCTCACCGCCGGGAACCTTGTCCTCACCGCTGGGAACCTTGTCCTCGCCGCCAGGAACCTTCTCCTCACCGCCAGGAACCATGTCCTGACCGCCGGGAACCTTGTCCTCACCGCCGGGAACATTGTCCTCACCGCCAGGAACCTTCTCACCGCCAGGAACCTTGTTCTCACCGCCAGGAAGCTTGTCCTCACCGCCGGGAACCTTGTCCTCACCGTCTGAAACCTTGTCCTCACCGCCAGGAAGCTTGTACTCTCCGCCAGGAACCTTGTTCTCACCACCAGGAACCTTGTCCTCACCGCTAGAAACCTTGTCCTCATCGCTAGCAACCTTGTCCTCACCGCCAGGAACCTTGTCCTTACCGCCAGGAACCTTGTGTTCACCGCCAGGAACCTTGACCTCACCGCCAGGAACCTTGGCCTCACCGTCAGAAACATTGTCCTCACCGCCACGAAGCTTGTTCTCACCGCCAGGAACCTTGTCCTCACCGGCAGGAACATTGGCCTCACCGCCAGTAACCTTGCCCTCACCGCCAGGAACCTTGTCCTCACCGCCAGCAACCTTGTCTTCACCGTCAGAAACATTGTCCTCACCGCCAAGAACCTCGTCCTCACCGCCAGGAACCTTGGCCTCACCGCCAGGAACCTTGTCCTCACCGCCAGGAACCTTGTCGTCACGGCCAGGAAGCTTGTTCTCACCGCCGGGAACCTTGTCCTCACCGCCGGGAACCTTGTCCTCACCGCCAGGAACCTTCTCCTCACCGCCAGGAACCTTGTTCTCACCGCCGGGAAGCTTGTCCTCACCGCCGGGAACCTTGTCCTCACCCCCGAGAACCTTGTCCTCACCGCCAGGAACCTTCTCCTCACCGCCAGAAACCTTGTTCTCACCGCCGGGAACCTTGTCCTCACCGCCGGAAACCTTGTCCTCACCGCCGGGAACCTTGTCCTCACCGCCGGGAACCTTCTCACCGCCAGGAACCTTGTTCTCACCGCCAGGATGCTTGTCCTCACCTGCGGGAACCTTGTTCTCACCGTCTGAAACCTTGTCCTCACCGCCAGGAAGCTTGTACTCTCCGCCAGGAACATTGTCCTCACCGCCAGTAACCTTGTCCTCACCACCAGGAACCTTGTTCTCACCGCCAGGAACCTTGTCCTCACCGCTAGAAACCTTGTCCTCACCTCTAGAAACCTTGTCTTGACCGCCAGGAACCTTGTCCTTACCGCCAGGAACCTTGTGCTCACCGCCAGGAAGCTTGTCCTCACCGCCGGGAACCTTGTCCTCACCGCCGGGAACCTTGTCCTCACCGCCAGGAACCTTCTCACCGCCAGGAACCTTGTTCTCACCCCCAGGAAGCTTGTCCTCACCGCCGGGAACTTTGTCCTCACCGTCTGAAACCTTGTCCTCACCGCCAGGAAGCTTGTACTCTCCGCCAGGAACCTTGTTCTCACCACCAGGAACCTTGTCCTCACCGCTAGAAACCTTGTCCTCACCGCTAGCAACCTTGTCCTCACCGCCAGGAACCTTGTCCTTACCGCCAGGAACCTTGTGTTCACCGCCAGGAACCTTGACCTCACCGCCAGGAACCTTGGCCTCACCGTAAGAAACATTGTCCTCACCGCCACGAAGCTTGTTCTCACCGCCAGGAACCTTGTCCTCACCGCCAGGAACATTGGCCTCACCGCCAGTAACCTTGCCCTCACCGCCAGGAACCTTGTCCTCACCGCCAGCAACCTTGTCTTCACCGTCAGAAACATTGTCCTCACCGCCAAGAACCTCGTCCTCACCGCCAGGAAACTTGGCCTCACCGCCAGGAACCTTGTCCTCAGCGCCAGGAACCTTGTCGTCACGGCCAGGAAGCTTGTTCTCACCGCCGGGAAACTTGTCCTCACCGCCGGGAACCTTGTCCTCACCGCCAGGAACCTTCTCCTCACCGCCAGGAACCTTGTTCTCACCGCCGGGAAGCTTGTCCTCACCGCCAGGAACCTTGTCCTAACCCCCGAGAACCTTGTCCTCACCGCCAGGAACCTTCTCCTCACCGCCAGGAACCTTGTTCTCACCGCCGGGAACCTTGTCCTCACCGCCGGAAACCTTGTCCTCACCGCCGGGAACCTTGTCCTCACCGCCGGGAACCTTCTCACCGCCAGGAACCTTGTTCTCACCGCCAGGAAGCTTGTCCTCACCGCCGGGAACCTTGTCCTCACCGTCTGAAACCTTGTCCTCACCGCCAGGAAGCTTGTACTCTCCGCCAGGAACATTGTCCTCACCGCCAGTAACCTTGTCCTCACCACCAGGAACCTTGTTCTCACCGCCAGGAACCTTGTCCTCACCGCTAGAAACCTTGTCCTCACCTCTAGAAACCTTGTCTTGACCGCCAGGAACCTTGTCCTTACCGCCAGGAACCTTGTGCTCACCGCCAGGAACCTTGTCCTCACCGCCAGGAACCTTGTCCTCACCGCCAGGAAGCTTGTCCTCACCGCCAGGAACCTTGTCCTCACCGCCAGGAAGCTTGTCCTCACTGCCGGGAATCTTGTCCTCACCGCCAGGTGCCTTGTCCTCACCGCCAGGAAGCTTGTCCTCACAGGCAGGAACATTGTCCTCACCGCCAGTAACCTTGTCCTCACCACCAGGAACCTTGTCCTTACCACCAGGAACCTTGTCCTCACTGCCACGAACCTTGTCCTCACCGCCAGGAACCTTGTTCTCACCTCCAGTAACCTTGTCCTTACCGCCAGGAATATTGTCCTTGCCGCCGGGAACCTTGTCCTCGCCACCAGGAACATTGTCCTCACCGCCAGGAACCTTGTCCTCACCGCCAGTAACCTTGTCCTCACCGCCAGGAACCTTGTCTTCACCGCCAGGAGCTTGTCCTCACCGCCGGGAACCTTGTCCTTACCGCCAGGAACCTTGTCATGACCGTCAGAAACATTGTCCTCACCGCCATGAGCATTCTCCTCACCACCAGTAACATTGTCCTTACCGCCAGGAACCTTCTCCTCACCGCCAGGAACCTTGTCCTCACAGCCAGAAACCTTGTCGTCACCATCAGAAACCTTGGCTTCACCGTCAGAAACCTTGTCCTCACCGCCAGGAACTTTGTCCTCACCGCCAGGAACCTTGTCCTCACCGCCAGGAACCTTGTCCTCACCGCCAGGAACCTTGTCCTCACCGCCAAGAACCTTGTCCTCACCGCCAGGAACATTGTCCTCACCGCTAGTAACATTGTCCTCACCTGCAGCAACCTTGTCCTCACCGCCAGGAACCTTGTGTTCACCCCTAGAAACCTTGTCCTCACCGTCTGAAACCTTGTTCTCACCGCCAGGAATCTTGTCCTCACCGCCAGGAACATTGTCCTCACCGCCAGGAAGCTTGTCCTCACCGCCAGGAACCTTGTCGTCACCGCCAGGAACATTGTCCTCACCGCCAGTAACATACATACATACATACATACATACATACATACATCAACTTTATTTAAACACGGAAAATCATCAGTATAGTTATTTACAAAAATATTAAAAAAATTTAAAAGGAGCAAAAAGAAATATAGATACTGTTCTACCTGATTGCCGTGTGGGAGTCAGATCGATTATTTATTAAGAAGGCTTCTAAACCTGTCTTAAATGCAGCGAGAGAGGTTACTGATCTAAGAGATTCTGGCAGGCCATTCCATAAAGAGGCTCCACTGTAACTGAAGGAGCGTTTCAAATAATCTGTGCGTGGTTTTGGGACATAAAGTTTACCATAAGAATCTCTCAGGTTATAAACACTCTCACTGGGAGAAAACATCTCTTGTAAATAGAATGGTGTATGTTTATTAATTGTATTAGACATGAGGATTGCCTTTTGCTTTAATCGCTTAGTGGACAATGATTCCCAATTAAGTTCTTCAAGAAGAGAACTTGATGAAATATCATAGGATGAACGGGTAATAACACGGGCGGCCCTATTCTGTAATTTTTGTAATTTTTCGCTTTGCTTTTTACCTAGGCCATCCCAAACAGGGGCACTATAGGAAAAATAGGGCTCCACCAAACTTTGGTAAACTCGAATTGCAGTTTCTGTGGTAATAAAATCTCTCATTCGTTTGAGAGCGCCGATACCCGAAGAGACTTTTTTGGTGATATTATCAACATGATATTTCCAAGTCAAGTTCTCATCAATTGTTAAACCTCATGACTTAGACTTCAGCACTCTATTAATCTGTTTATTGTTAACACATACTTCCACATTCTGATTATCAAAGGTTGAAAGTCTTTGACGAGATCCAATAATCATAAATTCAGTCTTGGCAATATTGAAACTTAACTTATTTGCCTCTAGCCATGTGTTTAAATTGGCTATTTCAGCATTCATAAGATTTTCTAGCTCAGAAAGATTATTACTTTGCATGCTGATGTTCGTGTCATCAGCATACATTCTAGGTAAACCCTCGTTCAAGCAGTTAGGCAAGTCATTGATATAGATCAAAAACAGAAGTGGGCCTATAATAAAGCCTTGCGGAACTCCATGGGAGATAGAACGACTACCAGAGAGTTTGCCATTTACGTAGCGTTTCTGTTTTCGATTGTTTAAATAGGAATTAAACCACGATAGCGCATTGTCATCGACACCATAACACTTGAGTTTACGTATAAGAATTTCGTGGTCAATTGTATCGAAAGCTTTCTTTAGGTCAATGAAGATCACTCCGTTAAGCAAACCCTTATCAATATTTACGCACCAGTTATTAGTCGACTCTAATAAAGCTGTAACGGTACTATATGATGCTCGAAACCCTGACTGATAGTTTGCCAGTTAGTTGTTACTTGTCAGATAGGAGTAAAATTGGTCATAAACGGTTGTACCAAAAACTTTGGCAACCGCCGATATAATTGAAATTGGAGGATAATTACTTAGATCACATTTTTCGCCATTTTTGAATATAGGTAAGACTTTTGCCATTTTCCAATCAGGCGGATAAATCCCCATAGAAAGCGATCTATTAAAAATTCTGGTTAACGAGGGTGAAAGAATATCAGCGGCTATTTTCAATAATCTACCTGTTATTTTATCAGGGCCGGTCGCTTTGTTAGCATTAATCGTTTTTAGCAAACGATTTACAGTGGACAAACCAATTTCCTTGAAAGAAAACACACTATGTGTGGATTGAATATAAGAAACGGGATTAACATTCGAGCTAGGTATTTTGTTCGCAAGTTTCTCTCCTATCGAGGTGAAATATGAATTAAAGGCATCCGAAATTTCAGCCGCATTAGTGATTTCATTACCGTCAAGATTGACTTTCTTGACACTGGTTACATCACTCACTTTACGAGAGTTCAGATCGTTGACTAGTCTCCAAGTTTTCCTTGGATCTTTTCGTGCAGCCTCAATATTAGTGATAAAGTAGTTATGTTTAGCCTGCCTAATAGTGTTGTTAGTTTCATTTCGAGCTTTCTTATATTGTAACCAAATTTCATCGTCACGTGTAATATCGAATTGCCTTTTTAGATAATCTCTTTCGCGAATTTTCTGAACTACATGTGAAGTAATCCAGGGAGACTTTCGTTTCCCTATACGTTTCTTTTTAAGTGGGGCATGTTTATCAATCACAGACATAAACAAATTCAACCATTCAGTCCACATATCATTAGGGTCGTTATGCAGAGAAACCTGCTCCCAATTTAGATTATTTAAATCATTCAAATATGCATGTTCATTGAAGTTTCTGAAATTTCTCTTTTCAACAAAAGTATTTACCGGTGCCTTATGATATGTACATTTCCGAATAAGGTATACCAGAGAATGATCACTTACACCAAGAGAAAGAACACCGGAAGCTTTTACTTTATCAAGATTATTGGTAATACATAGATCGATTAATGTTTGTGAGGTATTAGTTATTCTTGTAGGTTCAGAAATTGTCTGTGAAAGATTGTAAATATCAAATATATTCAAAAGCTCAGACGTGTTGGAATTTGGTGTGTTTGACAATAGGTTGCAATTCAAATCTCCAAGTAAATACAGTTCGGAATTCTCAACATCTATCTTATCGATAAAATCCTCGAATAAAGTAAATAATTGTTGGGACGAGCTTGGAGGTCTATACCAAGTACCCACCAAAAACGGCTTTGAACGAGGATTAGAAATTTCGATTATTAGGATTTCAAGATCATTACATGCCAGATCTTCACGAATTCGAAAGTTTAGATTACTTCGTATATACATACAAACACCACCACCATTTCTACCATTAACCTTACGGTCTAGCCTAACAACATTATAGCCTGAAAGATGGATTTCACTGTTGCTGATGGACGAATCTAACTTAGTTTCATTTATAGATAATATATCGATTTTACTATTGTCCATAAAGATTCTTAAATCATCAATATATGTGAGCTAACAAACTATTTATGTTTAGACAAGCAATTGCAAGACCATGGCTGAATTATCTAGTAGATGGGGCTTCGGTATTAGAAATACGAGATGCGGATAAAGAATTAACTGACTCTATACGGCAATTTCCTAACAGGAATTA